GGGGGCTGGAGGGGGTGATTAGAAGCTGAGGAGGTGAATGCAAAAGAGAGTTCACGGGTCCTCCAAGACATCAGTGCATCCCTCCCCAAACCCCATCAGGCCATCAGCCCAGCCTCACCAGGCCTCCGACCTCCTTTCTTCCCAAGCTTTGTGCCCACCTGCTGGAGCTACATTTTGGAGGCTGATGAAACAGAGGGGACCTGGTCTGTACTCTGCATCATCATCTCTTAACTTGACATCAGGCAGGGGACACTCAGGGTAGTCCATCCCATGGGCCTGCAGAATTGGTGCTTTACCAAGCCTCTAACAAAGTCGGGGCCCAGGGCTTTGTCTCATTCACTCTTGGCTAACAAGTCCCATGGCCTCCCTTCCTCTCTTGTTTTCCTCAGCGCGGGTATGTTCCAGGTCTTTGCCACCATGTATCAGGATTGCTCAGGTAGCCCGCCTGCTGCTTTCTCTACCCCCCATCTTGAGACTGTCCCCTTGTGCCCTATAAAGGTTCCTGTTGGCTTGTCAACCACTAGAAGTTAGAGATTTCAGAGATCTCAATCATTAGTTCTTGACTGATCGAAAACACGGGTCGTTTTTCAATTGACCACGAAATATTTATCGAACACTTATTAAGTGCAAGGCATTGTATCATTGTATTAGCTATAGAAATGGGAGGGGGGTGCAGATCAAAGAAGCAGGAGGCATGGACCTGCCTTCAGGGAGTCTTCACTGTGGCTGTGCAGAGCCAAGATGTAAATACAGAATAAATAACCTCTAGCATAAGGCAACCTTGGCTGGCGGGTTACTTGAGGCTCTCCTGGGCCTATTAAGACACCTGCCACAAAGTTTATAAAAAAAAATAAAAGCTCTAGAATGACTATTAAAATGCATCATGATTTATATGAGAGGCCAGATCAGATGACTAAATTATTAGCTAGATGCTTAGGACTCAGGAAACAGAGCAATGTTCTCCAGAAGTTACCTTGAGTTCACTGGGAACAAGTGATGCCACATTTCACTTATCTTTTCTTGATAAGGTTCTAGAGCTGGGGTCAAAGGAATGCCTTAGGTTAGGCATATCTTGAGCTCCACAGGGCTTCAGGAAACTCTCCTCTGGTGTCTTTGTAGGAAAGAGGGCTGGATAATTACTGGGTTTGTAGATACAGAGCTGGTTGGAGGACTGCTCCCTGCGAGTGTTGACTAGTTCTTAGGCATTCCCAGCTCGGTCTGTCTGTATCCTTATTGGGCTCAACATTTTTAGCAATGATGTGAGTAAAGACCGTGGAGACATTCTTATCATTCTGTTCATGTCCCCAATCTAGAAGCATCAGCTAAGAATCAATACTTAAAAATACCTCAATCCTTCCCTCCCCGTTGTATAAAGCCTTTAAACCATGTATCCCCAAACTCCAGAATGAATCATGTGAGGGAGTGAGCCCTGCTGGAAATGGACCTGCCAGAAAGTAGGGAGGAGTCCATCTGACTGTGATGGGGGAGGTAAGGTGAGGGCCATCTCTCACCTCTGGAAGTGCAGTTTGGGACGACACCCCTCCTTTCTGCTCTAGGGGCATAGGGCAGGAATCTGAAAGTGTGTGGCAGGATACACTGGGAGGGTGTGGTGAGCAGGAAATGCCTCCAGGTAGAAGGAGCCAGAGAAAACAGAGACGCTGTGGGAAAAGGGAGGTGGGACAAAGAAGTTACGGTGGCAGAGGGACTGCTGTCCCCACCTACCTGGCTGGCATGCCTGACCGCTCTGTGCTTTCTGTTCTCCTACCCAGATCACGATGAGGACCTAGGGCACCTGCCTGTTGACTGTCCCCCTGGCCTGCAGTGACCATGGCCCCGCGCAAGAGGAGTCGCCATGGCCTGGGCTTCCTGTGCTGCTTCGGGGGCGGCGACCTCCCCGAGATCAACCTCCGGGAGAGCAGCCCCCTGCAGTACATGGAGTTCTCCGGTCCGATCCCCAACCCGGAGGAGCTCAACGTCCGCTTCGCAGAGCTGGTGGTGAGTGAGGGGCCGGGGGGGGGTTGACAGTGAGGAGGGGAGGGGCTGGAGCAGCCAGAGCGAGACAGAGGGCAGGGGCCCATGTGCTGGGACCGTCACCTCTGAAGCTCTGCTTGGGGCTGAGGTGGCTCCCCAGGATACCCGAGCCGTGTGGGAGAAACAGCCACTTACCATGAAGTGTATCCCCAGAAGAGCAGACCTACCCCATGTTTCCTTTGGCTCCTAGACCTGCGGGGCAGCTACTAGGCCACCGTGGAAAGAGCAGGCCCAGGTTTCTGTGAAATGAGCAGTGAGAGCTCAAAGGACATCACAACCCCTCTGCTCTCCGGATCCCCCTGGGGTCCTTTTGTCTCAGGCACAGGAAGGAGAGACAGGGTGGCATTCTGTAGGCAGACACTGTTCCTGGGGACAGGAGATGACCGGCCAGAGATGCGGAGATGGAGATGCCTGCATCACAGCTGGAGCTGGCTCGGCTCGGCTCGGGGATGGCTGTGTCCCGCGTCCCGCCGCAGGGAGCAGGAGCCCTGTCATTCACACGGGCAGTGGCTCTTCCTGACTCTTTGACACCCACCTGGACCAGAGCAACAGTGGGAGCCCCTGAGTGTGAAACTTCATCCTCTGACCACAAAGAGGCAGAATGGGAAGAACCGTGGCTCCTCGCTGGGGAGGTCTGATGGTGACACACCCTGCAGGCCAAGGCAAGCCCTGGACCAGGGGTGCGGGGCCTGAGCCCAGGACTCAGGCCTGAACCTGCCGTCGAGCAGAGTGACGGGCACCGGCTCACCTCCCACGAGCTCTCGGCCACTCATGCTCCAGGCTGACCATAGAGAATCGATGCAGTGTGACTCGGAAGGCGATGCCACACTCAAATTCGATATAGACGCTTCTGATTAAGGCCAGCTAGCCCCTCCAATAGCAGGACGCTCCGAGACGAGGCCGTGGAGGCCATGGGAGAGAGCTGCCCCCTCACGGCACCGAGCTTAGGAAAACGCCTTGCTATCCTAAGTTGTGCCTTGTCCTCAGGATGGGGGGAGCAAAGCGTTTCCCAGTAGGCTGACCTGCGGGGCCCGATCCACGCCAGTCAGTGCTACTGGGACCTGCTTTTTACTCAGAATATTGCTGCCACCGATGTGTGGGCTCCCACACCAAGCGGTTCTCCAGGTCTCTGTGGGCGCCAGCTGGGTGTCCTACAATTTAACTAACTACCCAGAGTTAGCACAGACCCCACGGGTTATGGGCTCAGGCCCACAGACTGCCCCCCACTTCACCCACCGATCACAACTAGTGGGTTCCCAGGTGACCTACACTTCTGTTCGACTTGGCTACAAAATGGGGGTTCCCATGACCCCCTCCTCAGGTTCAATAATTTGCTAGAATCGCCCACAGAACTCAGGGAAACACTTTTCTTGCTATTATAAAGGAAATTATAAAGAATACCAGTGAACAGCCAGATGAAGGGGTACACAGGATAAGGCCCAGAAGGGCAAGAACAGTAAGGCTCCTGTCCCGAGCACAGGAGCTTCTGTCCCTGTGGACTTTGGGGTGCAGCAACCTCCCAGCATGGGAGTGGGGGCAGCACCCTGGAAGCCCTGAGCCTTGCCACGTAGGGACTTTTATGGAAGTGTCATCATGGAGTTTCAGCTCAATCTCCAGCCCCTCTCCTCTCTCTGGAGTTGGAGAAGTGAGGCTGAAAGTCCTAGGCTTCTGGTGAAGGCTTGATCTCTCTGGTGCCCGGCCCCTATCTGGAAGCCATCTAGGTCCCACCAAGAGTCATTTCACTAGAAGAGGCTCTTATCGCCCAGGAAATTCCAAGGGATTTTGGAGCTCTGCGCTGGGAACTGGGAACCAAGATAAAAAGTGTATGTCTTACTTTATCACAGGAAGGGATGTTTTCTTTTTTCTTTTTTTTTTAAATGTGTTGATTGATTTCAGAGAGAGGAAGGGAGAGGGAGAGAGAGAGAAACATCAATGATGACAGTCATTGATCAGCTGCCGCCTGCACGCCCCCTACCGGGGATTAAACCCACAACCTGGGAATCGAACTGTGACCTCCTGGTTTGTAGGTTGACACTCAACCACTGAGCCACGTGGGCCGGGTGGCAGGGACGTTTCCTCGATCAGAGCGCGTGAGTTTGGATAGACGGGCGTGAGAAGAAGTATTCCTGCCTTTGGCCCTTTTATTTAGCAAGTATTTACTGAGCGCCTTTAGTGAGCAGGGCTACTAACTAGGCCATTTGGTAAAAGCAAGGATGAGTCAGAGAAGTCTTGTCTGCAAGGAGACTAGCATCGGTTATTGGTCAAATAAAGGAAAAATGTTTATTGAGAGAGTGCTGCGTGCTGGGTTCTACGGGGGCAGGGACTTAATGGTGAGCCAACAGGCATAGTCCCTGCCTCCATGAAGCCCAGGTAGGGGAGACTGACCTTGAATGGTAATGACAGGTGGGTGAGTGTTTGGAGAGGAACATTCCCTGTGGGAGTGTCCAGCGGGGAGCTTTATTCTAGAATGGGGGTCATGAAGGTCCCCTGAGCAGTGACATTTCCACTGAGACCTGAACACAGAGTGATGGTTAGATAAGTGAATGGGGGTGCAGAACAATCACAGAGGGTCCCCCACAGAAGAGAGCAGGCCCTTTTGGGAGACGTCATGAAGATGAGAATAAATTTGGATGTATTTCTAAGGCTACAGAAAGCCATGGAAGGTTTTAAGCATGGCTGCGGGGTGAACCCGTCTGCTTTTCTAAAAGACCATTCACGGTCCTCTGCTGAAGGAGGCTCTGGGTGACCATTAGGGGGCTCTTGGCACAGTCCCCGCCAGGGAGGATGTTACTCAGGCGTTAGCAGCGGGGATGGAGGGAAGTGGACAGGTTCAAGATCTATTCAGGAGAAACGATCGTAGGACCTGCTGGGATGTGTGAGTGAATAGGAATCCAGGGACACCCGGGTTTCTGACGCGAGGAACTGGGCAGGCGTTGGGCCCTACACAGGACAGGACGCACCTGTGGAGGCTCGGGTTTCGGGGATCGGGATGATGAACTTAATTTGCAGCCTCTCTCTTTTGCATCAGTTTCCTCATCTGTAAGATGGGTTGTTGCAAGTTTAATGACTAAACATGAAGCCCTTAGAACAGCGTCTGGCACATAGCGACCCTGCGTGAGTGTGCGAGGTACCTCCCGGCAGAAAAGTGCAGGAGGCAGCGGGGTCCCAGCCAGAGCTCAGGAGATCAGAATATGTTTGAGAGACTTCGGGATGACGATTGAGTCCTTGGGAATGACTGAGAAGCTTCACCTGGGGGAGCATCAGAGAGGANTCGGGATGACGATTGAGTCCTTGGGAATGACTGAGAAGCTTCACCTGGGAGAGCATCAGAGAGGAGACCAAAGGACCCAGGATGGTGCCCAGAGGGCCTTGAACATTTGATGGCGGGAGAGAGAAGTCATCAAGGGGGCCCAAGAGGAACCCAGAGCAAAGCAGAAGGGACCACCCAGGAGTGTGGCTGTTGAGGAAACCAGGGCAGAGGGGTTCAGTAAGGAGGGAATGGTCACAGAGTCACAGGCTCTCTGGGCTGAGCCAAATTGCCGAGAATTGTCCCTTGATTGAGCGACGGAGACCGCTGGCTACAAAAGACAGATGCACAAACTAGCACAGTGCAACACTGCACGTGACTGGTCCGGGGTTCAGGAAGGAAGGGGCGTCCTTACCTGAGGTCGTGGAAGGCTTGCTGGAGGAGGCTCACTTTGAGCTTGGGGGTGAGACCAGCCACAGGCTGGGCGGGCAGGAGGGCAGCCTGGGGACAGCTGACTGTGTGAGCCAGGCAGAGCTGCAGAGCTGCCTCTGGGAGCTGGGAAGGCTTCTGCCTCAGACCGTGGGGAAAGGAATACTGAAGGGCCCTCGGTCAGGCTCTGGGAGCTCCGACTGCGGACGCTCGGATGCGGCGAGCGTGGTGCTAGGAACAACCTTTGTTTAGCATTAGATGGCAGGAGCCTTGGTTTCCAAAGGCAGGTGAACTGATGGGCGTTGTTTCATCGCCTTCGGGTGTGCTGTCCACGGTGATGGGCTCTGGTCACACGGGCACTGACCGCTTGACATGTGGCTGGTCTGAACTGGGATGAGCTGGAGGGTAAAATACATACCAGGTTTCATGTAAAATATCTCACTGATCATTTTTTTACATTGACAGCATGTGGATATGATCATATTTTAGATATTTGGGGTTAAATAAAATGTGTTATTAAAATGAACTTCACCTATTCCTTAATTGTTTAATGTGGCTGGAAAATTTTAAAAATACATGTGGCTCACATTGTATTCCTACTGGACAGTTTTGATCGAGGTGAAGGGAAAATTTAAATGTTCTCTTGTGAATAAAAGTAGAGGGGAAAGTGTATGGATATTGGTGTTTTAGGCCTTTATACTGTAGATGCTACTCTCACTGTTTATCAGTTTTGAAAATAGAAAGGTTAGTAATAGTGGGCTTTATTATCTTAATGAGAGTTTTGCTTTTAATTTAAAAACCCCTCAGTATTGAGCTGAGAAGCACTGTGTTCCCCTTGGCCCATAGCTATGTCTTTGATGAGGCTGAGCACTGCTCATGGATCACAGGCCAAGAACCTTCAAGCAGAGAGCTTCAGGGGCTAACCACCCAGTCACATCTATAAAGTCCCCCAAACTACCCACAGAGCTGCCCTGAGCTTGATGATGTCAGAAACAGCTCCGTTCCCCTGAGGAAGTGTGACCTCGCCCACCGGAGCCCCCAGCTTTGCCTGTGCACAGCCTTGTCTCAGGGTCCCGCTGGTGCAGGGGCCACCTCTGGCAGGGACACCTTCCGGGAAGCAGGTCACCACCTCTCTTCGCCTGGCGCACCCTTCCTGCCAGGAGAGCCCTCAGCCTCTCGTTCTCACCAGCTCCCCCAGCCCGGGCTGGGAGCCATGCTGAGGTTAGGGGAGCCTGCGGATCCTGGAGGAGGGCCTGGAAGGTCAGGGAGACTGGGGTGGCGCAGGGACTGGTCTGTAGAGTGACTCCTTTCTTTGTCTGGCCTTGACTTACGGTGTTGACAAGTTTAAGAATGACAAGGGAAGGAAGACGGACGAGAAGCCCGGATAAGAAGATTAAGGGCTAGCTACACATTGCAGAGGTGTTTGGGGCCGGAGGGGGAGGGTGGGTTTGCAGAGACGAGGTGCGGGGACAGGAGCAGGGCCAGTGTGGGCGAGGCCGCACAGGCTGGGCCGAGGCAAGGCCTCGGGCTGTTTCTAGCGGAGGAGTTGCCCTCCAGGCCTCCCATCCTCTCTGCGAGGAGGCTCGTGGGCTGAGGGATAGGCTTGGGGCCTTGTCATTTCCCGGAGGCTGAATAGATTCGCCTCCGGATACAGACGTTTGTCTGCTGTCGTTGCAGGATGAATTGGATCTCACCGACAAAAACCGGGAGGCTGTGTTCGCGCTGCCCCCTGAGAAGAAATGGCAGATCTACTGCAGCAAAAAGAAGGTGCCGCCCCCGACCCCTTCCGCTGCCGCCCCGGGGTGCGGGCCCGGCCGCCCTGGGTGGATTTGTTACGCACCAGCGCTGCGCCGGGTGCTGGAGGGAACCGTGAATAGGTCGGGGCACCAAGCCCCTGCTCTCCTGAGCCTGCCCGCAGGGAAGTGGGGCTCCGGGCTTCAGACCCCTTGAAGCAGGTGCCTGCTGCGGCAGGAGCGGTGCCCGGTTGGGGCGGGTGAGGGAGGCACACGNGGCACCAAGCCCCTGCTCTCCTGAGCCTGCCCGCAGGGAAGTGGGGCTCCGGGCTTCAGACCCCTTGAAGCAGGTGCCTGCTGGGTCAGGTGCGGGTTAGGGAGGCACACAGATGACACATCCAGACTCCCTTGTGTGCCGGACCCATGCCTGGAAGGCGGGCCACCCTGGGCCACCCTGGGGCGGCTTTGGGAAGGGAGAGGAGGGGCCTTTTCTGAATCTTTAGCACCTGCCCTGTCCCAGGCTGGGCCTCACAGGGCAGCACCCTCTCAGGGTCGCACAGAGGGTCACACATCAGTCCCGCTCTCCCTACCTGCTCCTCCCTCTCCTCTAGGTCATTAACCCGCGTCCTCAGCCTCCGGACCGCGGCCCTCCCTAGGAAGGGGTGTGCGGCCTCAGTCAGGGCTTAATTGGATTTTATCTCCTCCCCTCCGCGTGCCTTCCGCCGCCCCCTTTTCTCCACCTGAGTGCCTTTTGCTCAGCTCTTTCTGTGTGTCTCATGCCCCTTTGCGAGTCTGTCTGTTTCTTTCGCTCTGTTTTTCTTTCCTTCACCCACCGCCCTCCTCTTCCCTGCGCCCTCCGGATTTTCAGCTTGCTCCTTTGACTGGGGCGTGCAGCGTTTGGGATTTAGGCCCTGGCTGTCCCCGTCCCATGCAGAGCTCCACACTGACAGACCGACTTTATAAAAGTGAAGGGCTAGCACCGTTCACCATTTTAGAGTCGGAAGGCTCTGAGAAACCATCCAGGCTAGTCCTTTACTGTACACGTGAGGCGAGGGGCGCCTGGAGAGGCAGTGGACCCAGCCAGAGTCACCAGCCGGCTCTGGTTATGGCGAGTGGCTGCACCATTGCTAGAACCCTGCCTCCTGGAGGCTGCGAACCTGTGGCGAGATGGATGCCCCGGCTGCACCCGCTGCAAGTCATTGTCTGGCGTACTCGGTGCGCATGCATTGAGCACCTGCGGAGTACCACGTTCTTTGTCCAGGAATCTCACTGTCAGAAAACACATCTTAAAAGAAAAAACAAAAACTCATGTCGTGGGAGGAAGAGAGGCAGGAATGAGAAAATATGTTTGGGGAGTAATTAATCATGTCTCATGATTCCCCACTTTCCAAATTGAGTTACTGTGGAGTTCCTCTAAGTTGATCTCTTATATACAGCTAAAAGAAAAGGAAATATTAAAATGTAAGGACTTCTCTCTCTCTCCCTTCCAAATCAAATTGTGTGTAATTTCCCCATACGCTCCATACCCCCCTCCTCCTGCAACGCACTTCCTCTGTCTGTAACACCCTCTCCACCTGCATTAGCTTCAGTCATCCTCAATAACTCAGCCCTGTCCTCAGCCCCCACCACCTCACCCCTCATGAGCTGCATGTGTTAGATGCCCCTCAAGGTTTCCATGGTCCACTAGGGACAGTTCTTCCATAGAACATTTGTCACCGTGCCTCTGACACTATGGAGGATACAGATTATGACATTTTGCTCAGTACTTTCAGGACTCAATACAGTGACTGGCTTGTAGTAGGTGCTCATTAAGTGCATGTGGACTGGGTAAAGGAGGAGCCAGCAAAGGCAGGGAAGTATGTGTTTGATGATGCATCTGCTTCTGGTTCTGTGATCCCTTCTCCAAGGTAGAAGATAGAATTTGGGGGCCTCAGGCATGGAGATTTAACACATAGTCGCATGAAGTCACAAAGACCAAATCAAGGCAGCTTTCCCACTGGTCTAAAATTTGGGTTTTATAAAACCAAATCATGAAGCCCAAGTGGAAGGAGCTAAGGGGTTCAGGGCAAAGTCCAGATTGGTAGACAGGTTCTGGAAGAGGTAAGTTTCCATGCCAATTTGGAAGCAGGAGCTCGGCAGAGAGCAGACAAGGAGGAACGGCCAAATGGGCCAGGGCCAGGGCCAGAGCCAGGGCCAGGAAGAGCCTGTGTACTGTCCAGCACCAGATCCTTTGGCTGGAGGAGAGGGATAGAGTTTCAGTCAACATTGTTTATCCAAATCACATCTTTTTTGCCCACTGGGAAAGGATTGAGGCTTTTTCTTGGGACCTGACAGTTGGGCCAGAGGCCCTCTGATCTGGGCTCTGCGTCTCAGCTGCACAGACTCCTCCTGGGTCTTTCCAAAACCCAGGGTCTTGGGAGTTTATCTTTCCCTCTTTTCATAAAGTTATTATTTATTGAGCACCTACTATGTGCCAGGAACTGCACCAAATGCTTTATATCCGTGCTTCTCAAACTATCTGGGAGAAAGACCAAGTTTTGAAATTTCCAAACCATCACAAACCAAGTAATTTTGTGAAATACAATGAGATTGATATCAGAAAAATAAAATTTGGAAAAAACAACCCAGATATATAAAATACCACAAATTTTTATTAGATTCAACAGACATAAAATTACATTTTGTTAAATAGAGTCAGAACAAATAGGGGAAAAATGACTTTATTTTTAATTGAACACCTTGCTCTTTGAACGTGTATTATACCTGCATGGTTTCTGCCCACGTCTCTAGCTGGTCATGAGATTCAGTGTTCATTAGCCACATTTTACCATGGAAGAAAGAGAAGCCTGGGAGATCGTGTCATTTCCTTGATGTCGCCCCATGTGGGGGGCTGGGAAATGCCTCTGTCCGTGGACTGCAGCCCAGGACCCCAGGCCATGGGCGTGCCTTGCAGGTTGCCCCATACAGTTCTTCTCGTCGCAGGAGCAGGAGGACCCCAACAAGATGGCAACCAGCTGGCCTGACTATTACATTGACCGCATCAACTCCATGGCTGCGGTGAGTGGCCGCTCCTCTCCTGCCCTGGTGGCGCCTCCAGAGGCTGCGAGGGAGAGCGAGCCTCTGCCATCTTTCCCTGTACCTCCCCCCACATTGGGGATCAGGTCCCACGATGCTATCATGGTCCCTCCCTTCCCCGTGTGGCTTTAGAGTCTCCCGACTCTTCAGCCACTTATTTACCACGTGAGCTTGGGGCGCGGGCTGGGCCAGTCATTCTCCCCATTTTACAGATGAGGAATGTCAAGTCCGGGGCCAGGACCCGAGTCTTCTCAGAGGCTGACCGTCTGCCTAGCCACCCATCCCTGAGGCCTCAGCCTCCCCGCGGCCAGGGTGACCCCCGCACCTGGCTGGGGCGCAGGGGCCGGGAGCCCGCAGCAGGCCTGACCCCCGCCCTCTCCACCCACCGCAGATGCAGAGTCTGTACGCGTTTGATGAGGAGGAGACGGAGCTGAGGAACCAAGTTGTGGAGGCCCTGAAGACGGCCCTGCGGACGCAGCCCATGAGGTGACTGGCCGCCTCCCCCCTCACTTCCCCGCCTGCCTCGGCCCCGGGGCTCCCTGGGCTTCCTGCAGTGCTGGTCCCGCTGGGTCCCCTGGGCCACTCTGGTCCCCTGAGCCACTCCGCTGCCCAGCATTCCCTGGGGGGACGTGCTGCGGGGAGGGGAGAGGAGCACGGGAAAGTGGAATAAGCCTCGGCCTCCCCTCCGGGAGAGCTGTGGGAGGAGAGGCTGAGGACAGGCGCTGGTTTTTCTCGGGGGGTGGAACAGGAGGGAAGGGAGCCTTGTGCTCAAGGCGTGCGGGAAAGAGCTCTGGGGGCCCCCGAGTCCAGGCGAGGGACACTCCAGCCACGAGGGGAGGTGTGGTGTCCACGGGTGAGATTTCCCCACCGGAGTGGGAGTGGAAAAGAAAGGCAGGGAGCCCGGCCGGTGTGGCTCAGCAGTTGAGCAGCGACCTAGGATCCAGGCGATCGGGGTTCGATTCCCGATTAGGGCACATGCCCGGGTTGCGGGCTCGATCCCCAGCAGAGGACATGCAGGAGGCAGCCGATCAATGACTCTCTCATCATTTATATTTCTCTCTCGCCCTCTCCTTTCCTTGCTCTGAAATCAACGAAGACATATTTAAAAGAAAGGAAAGGGGGGGCGGGTGCGTCAAAGGCCGGAGAAGAAACCCCACTCTCCCCAGGCCACATAGTGCGAGGGGATAAGAGCCACAGGTTCTCACGTCTGGGAACTGGCTCATAGCAGCTCGTGAGACCCAAGCGTTACATTTTCAGCAGTTTTGCGAACTGGTTGTTATACATAGTTATGATTAAAATATGACTTAATATAAATTTACGATTAAATTAATTATGTCAAAAACAAAGGTAATGAATACTCGAAACTTATCAGTCCCTAATTACCTAATGATATGACTCCATTTTACTGTTAGGTAGAATCTTCACTATTACTTATGCTCTTGAGTTTACACCTGCTGTGTAGGCATGGCGGGAATCTGTAAATGCTGCATCTCCTCCCAGTTCCACATTCTATGAGGTCACATTGATGGCTTGAGATCGGCTCTGCTGGGAGTATTTATACCATGGAAATTGGCAAGCACTACAATCAGGACTTTTTTTCTTTAGAGAGCCAGTCTTTAACAGTTACCAGCACACTGGCCTGTGTGTGTGTGTGTGTGTGTGTGTGTGTGTGTGTTGTTGGGGCTGAGCTGTCAACCCAGAGGCCTGGAAACAGAGCCTCAAGGAGAGTGGAGCACCCTAATCGCCGTTTGTCTCTCAGGTTGGGGTGAGGGTCTGCTATGGGAAGGGAGGGGGTGCAGGAAGGATGAGGGATCAGGATGTAAAGGGGATGAGGGGAGGTTGCCAGGTCTGTCTCCTGCTTCAATTTATTTTTTCTTTCCTTTGATGACAAAAGTTACCCATAGTCATGGTGAAAATTTTGTGGAATAGAAAGCATATAATAATGTAAATAATGCCTATTTTAACAACTTAATTTGAGAGTAAATTTTGCTTTTCGAGGCATATTCATATAATATAGAAATACACACAAATGCACTTGGGACCAAATGTATTAATTATATGGAGTGGTTCCCTTAGTTTCATTTATGATGTTCCTCAGATCATTAATTATTTGTCTGATTAAATCAAGGGTTCTACTCGGTGTGTGTGTGTGTGTGTGCGTGCAAGCAAGAGAGAGTGTGTGTGTATGCCACAGAGGACTTGAGCACCCAAATGAAACGTCTTGACTGCTTTCAGAATTTTTTCAAATAGTAAAATAAAATAGATAAAATTAGATAGGATTAAGAAAATGAGCCAATTAAGCTGAAATACAGTTTCCAAATATTAAAAATTTGCTAGATAGTAATAACTGTGCCTTAAAAAGCAAGAACTAGCAGCCACCATAATTATGAACTGATGATGAGTGTAAATGATATTTTGAGACACCTGCAACAACTGTAATTTGATATGAAAATTGCTGTGACATTTTTTGGGTGACAGAGTTGCAGTTTCTGCTAGTACCACTGTCATTTATTGCCTACATTTATCATTGAAGGAAATGCTAAATTTCAGTGAAATGTTACCAAAAATATAAGTACATGCACGCCTCAGAAATAGTGCAGGTTTGGTTCCAGACCTCCCCACAAAGCAGATATCACAGGAAAGCAAGTCACAGGAATGTTTTGGTTTCCCACCGACATACAAGTTATGTTTACACTCTGCTGTAGTCTAAGTGTGCATTAGCATTGTGTCTAGAAAACAGTGTATGCACCTTAAAAATACTGTATTGCTAAAAAAATGCTAACCATCATCTGCGCCTTCAGCAAGTTGTAATCTGCAATATCTGAAGCACAGCAAAGCAAGTGCAATAAAGCGAGGTATGCCTGTATAATTTTATTTTTCCATCCAATTTCATGGAGCCGTGAATGCTAGCCATGGATCCTTTAAGGGAACACAGACCCCAGATTGAGAACTCCTGAACTAAATTGTTGTTTCTGTTTTCTGCTAGCATTCAAGGTGACTCAGCTGTTTTCTCTTAAGAGTACCTTCAGGAGCCTTAGGCCTTTGACTCAGCGACTCCGATGCACGCTCCCCCCACACACGTGGTGGAGAAGTCCTCCTTGTTGTCTGGCTGTAATTCTCTTTCATTCCCGCCCTCCCTGGAGATGAGTCTTCAGGTTGAACAGCCTTAATAATTATTGCAATAATGATCAAGATCATCACCTTCCCATGCACAGCACCTGACAGTCAATGACATGCAAATGAACAGTATTTAAGATGCCAGGCCCCCGTGAGGATGATGGGAGGTCAGTGCTTCAGACACACTTTATAAATGAGCCAAGTGGTTACTGTAGGTGGGGGGCAGTGGAGCACAGATACTAGGGTAACTCTCTGCAAATAGTTACACGGCATGGCGTGCAAGCGTGGGATGCGCGCTCCGCTAACGGCTCTGGCCCCGCAGGTTCGTGACGCGCTTCATCGAGCTGGACGGCCTGAGCTGCCTGCTGAACTTCCTCCGGAGCATGGACCACGCCACCTGCGAGAGCCGCATCCACACCTCGCTCATCGGTTGCATCAAGGCCCTGATGAACAACTCGCAGGGCCGGGCGCACGTGCTGGCGCAGCCCGAGGCCATCAGCACCATCGCGCAGAGCCTGCGCACCGAGAACAGCAAGACCAAGGTGGCCGTGCTGGAGATCCTGGGCGCCGTGTGCCTCGTGCCCGGCGGCCACAAGAAGGTGCTGCAGGCCATGCTGCACTACCAGGTGTACGCGGCCGAGCGCACGCGCTTCCAGGTGAGGGCCCGCGGGCGCTGCGGCAGGGGCCCGGGGGCCTGGGGAGGGAC